TACATTTGGTCTTTTCATGGTGTCCCATATTTCCTGGATGTTTTTTCTTAAGGATTTGTTGGACTTAAAGTTTTCTTTGGTTGATGAATCCATTTCTCCTAGTGTATCTTCAACACTTGGGATTCTCTCTTCCATCTCTTCTATTCTGTTGGTAATTCTTGTATTGGTAGTACCTGACTGTTTGCCCAGCTTTTCTATTTCCTGCCTTTCTTCAGATTGTGTTTTTTTTATTTTTCTTTATTTCAGTTTTCAACCCTTGCAGTGTTTGCATTGCTTCTTGCAATTTTTGGCTTATCTTTTCTTCCATTTGTTGCCTTTTATTAATTTTTTGGTCTGTTCTTTCTTCCATTTCTTACATTTTTTGGTTTGCTTTTTCTTCCATTTCTTGCATTTTTTGCTTCGTTTCTTCTTCCATTTCCTGCCTTTTTGCTATGTTTCTTCTTCCATTTCTTTCATTTTTTGCTTTGTTTTTTCTTCCATTTCTTGCATTTTTTGCTTCATTTCTTCTTCCATTTCCTGCCTTTTTTGTTTGTTTTTTCTTCCATTTCTTGCATATTTTGTTTGTTTTTCTTCCATTTCTTTGAGGGATTTTCCTATACCCTCTTTTAGGGCCTTTATCATTTTCATGAAAGTGGTTTTAAGGTCATTCTCTTCTGCTTCGTTTGCATTGGAATGTTGGAGTCTTGCTGGCGTGGAGTCTCTAGAATCTGGTGGTGTCATATTTGTTTTTCTGTTGCTGAGTGTGTTTTTGTATTGTCTCTTTCCCATCTCTTCTTCTAGTGGGTGCAGAAAGCGCCGCATACTGGTCTGATGGTTAGGGGACCAGAGATCCCTTTTGGTGGGTGCTAGCAAGTCCAACAATCTGGTAGTTCTTCTATTCCTTGTCCTCATTCTGGTCCCATGGGTGGAGAAGAAGAACAGGAATCTGGGACGCTTAGCCTCCCACCTGGTCCCCTGGACCCTTTGCTGGATCCTGTTGTACCTGATCCCGCCAGAACAGCTGCTCCCCTGGTTTCCCTGGCTCCTCTATTTTCCTGGTCTCGTTGGTGGGAGAGAAGTCCTGGGGTCTGGGGTGTTTGGCTCCCGCCGAGATTGGAAGCTCTGTGCAGTTCCCAGGTGATCCCCAGGCACTGGAACACAGGTCCACAAGCAGGGCCTGTTGTACCTGATCCCACCGCTGGAACAGCTGCTCCCCTGGTCTCCCTGGATCAGCTCTTGGATTATATTTATAAAAAGTATTGTTTCTAGAAATGCCCATTTTACAATCCCTTTTCAGGTGACCTTGTGTGCCACAATTAAAACATTTGACATTTTGATTTTTCTTTAAACCTCTTGAAATTACTTCTTCTATCATCATCAAGGTCATAAGTATAATCTGAGGGCTGTTGGTTACCATCATGGTTTGCGTGTCACTTACTGGACCCTCAGAATTTTCATGCCATACTAGTTGCTCATTGCCGAATAGAACTGTTGGTTGCCTACCTCCTTTGGAAGTTTGTATGGTACCTTAATGTACTACAAAAGCTGTTTCTCAGGGAGGAAGCATTCAGGGATGTTCCATCTCAGACCTCTGGGCTCTGAGTTTGAAAGGCATGATATCTTCAGTAATGAGAACTTGCCTTTCATGTCTGGGGCACACCCAAGGACAATAGCAATGGGCTATATGTTTGGGTACTCTCTTGGTTATCCCTAACTAGCAACTAAAAGGAGGATTCTCCTGTCTGGTAATAGGGGTTTTATTGGGTGTTCTTTGGCTTTTAGAGGGTTCATTGTTGATAAGATAAATTCATTTGAACTATGTGTGTGTATTTTTTACACACAGTTATATGTATTTTTAGATTAATTTAGATAAATACTTAATATGATGATTGCTTATGGCTTTTTGGACATCTTTATTATTGTTTCACCATCCATCTTCCATTTTTAATTCCTTACCCACTCCATAAAAAGCCTGCCCCTTTTCCCATTTCTCCAATTAGACTACATCTACCTTGCTATTCCCCCTTACTCTTCCCCTTCTTCTGTATTTATCTCCCTTCTCCTTGGAAAGAGTCTCGCTCTTCCTTCTTTCTATGATCAGATCAGTTTTACCATTTTTGCTCTGTCTGTTGCCTCCTAAGCTCCCTTATCTGGTAACAGTCCCATTTTACTTAAATAGTTTCTGTAGCTATTCCAGAATGTATACCCATATTTCAAGATTTGGACCTAGTATCCTCCAAAGTGAGAGCACATTTGACATTTGTCTTTTTGGGTCTGGGTTATCTCACTCAATGTGATCTTTTCTAGTTGCATCCATTTACCTGTAAAATTCATAATTTCACTATTCTTTTTTTTTTTTTTGGTTTTACGAGACAGGGTTTCTCTGTATTGTTTTGGAGGCTGTTGGTCTAGCCCAGCCTTGAACTCACAGAGATCCGCCTGCCTCTGCCTCCCAAGTGCTGGGATTAAAGGAGTGTGCCACCACCGCCCGGCCATAATTTCACTATTCTTAACAGCTGAATAGTGTACAGTACCAATAGCTGTTGAAAAACATTTAGGTTGTTTCCATTTCTTAGCTTTTGTGAATAGAGCAGCAATGAACATGGCTTAGCAAGCATCTATGGAGTAGAATATCTAGTCCTTGGGCATTTCCAAAGAGTGGTATTGCTGGATCATATGGTACGTTTAGTTTTAGCTTTTTGAGAAATCTCAATACTTATTCCCACAGTGGCTACACCAGTTTCTCAATAAATGAAGAATTATAGCAGAGCAACATTGATGTGTTGTAAGAACATACAACACTATCTTTTGACCATGTACATCGATTGCTTCTGCCTCCAACAATGACCCAAAATAGACAGGTCCTTCAATATTATAATTGACTCAGCTCTGCTTCCATCTAGCTTTATGTAAGAACAAAACAATAAAAAATCAAAATAAATGTAAAAGGTAAACATGAAAATATATTATTTATATCAGAAAATTGTCTTTACTGATTCTGGAAAAAGTATGATGAGCACCATTGCTTTTATTTGCTCACTGAATCCAATTTCCATCCAAATGCAGTATTCTTCAATCTCTAAGGGATGTAACTAGTTATTGCTTTAATATTTGTTGATGACCCAGCACATTTTTCAAATGCTTTTGGGTTCACCACTGGGACCTCGTTTTTATAATGATATGAGATAATATTTTAACTTCATTGAGAACCAACATAATGAGTCTATATAACTTAAGCAGAGAGATTTACTACAAGAATTAAGTGACAATAAAACTGTGACACGACTTGAAGATCATTAGCTTTGGTCACTATGATCACTTTTCGAAAAATATAGAATAATCAGCCATTGGGTTTCTATCTCTCTGGGGAATCTGGTTACTGATGTTAGAATCACCCACCTCAGTCACAGTCTTGGAGTAAGGTAACAGCCAGCAGAAGTGAATCTGGGAGTCTATTGCCTTGCCAGAGACTAGGAATCAAGAATCTGTACTGAAGCTTCTAGATGCGTACCTTTGATCCCAGCAGGAGGCAGGGAGATTGCATGAGCCTCTTTGTGTTCCAGGGCATCCTGGTTTATGTAATGTGATTCAGACCATCCAGGGCTAAATAAATAGACACTATCTCAAAACAGAAAAAGCTACACCATTTAACTCTTTACAGTGAACATAAAGAGAACAGGCCTCTTATGATTATCTTCTCTTTCCAATGATTTCTTTCTTGAAATTCAAGATTTAAGCAAATAATAACTTAAGAAAAATCCAAATGACCTCTATCAAAAACTGCTTCTAAAGTTTTTGCTAAGGGTTCAAAAAAAGGAACTACAAATAAGTGAAGGAACCAAAATCCAAAGGGAAAAGGAATCTACTTACAACATGATCTTTCTATCCATATATCCTCCTCCTCCTCCTCCTCCTTCTCCTCCTCCTCCTCCTCCTCCTCCTCCTCCTCCCCCTCCTCCTCCTCCTCCTCCTCCTTCTTCTTCTTCTTCTTCTTCTTTCTCTGTTTCTCCTTTTTTCTGCTTTCTGTTTCTCTATTTCTCTCCAGTTCTTGGGGGTACAGAATATATACATACATACATATATATATATATATGTGAAATCAGTAATTATTTTTACAATACAATGTGAGGCTTGAGTTTTTCAGGGTCAGGAAGGCAGATACTATTTTCACATAGAGCAATAAACTAAAACTGCTAGGAGAAACTTTTAGTATCAGTTGCTTAGGGCTGTAGGTCAAAGAGAGGGTCTAAGTTTAATTTGCAAAAGAAACCAAACCTGGTGCCTTCCAGTGCTCTGGTCTCAGTGGTGGCACAGGCCTTCAAGAAAGTCTACTTTTCTCTGAGGATGAGCAAATGAGCTGATTACCTTTGTCTTTATCTTTTCAGGGGAAACAGAAGGGATCAGTAAATCTCTGAGTGAAAATCTTGAGTTAATAAAACAAGATGTTTGAGAATCTTTTAGTGCAGTGTTAGTTTAGGTTATTGCTTCTCTATCTGCCTGTGAGGCAAAATAAGGGCATGCTTATTTTTTCTATCTATCTAGGCAGCTATGAACCAACAACTTTGGGCTTGTAGTAATTCTATGTCCTTGGATATCTGAGAATGTCTTAGAAGGAATGTTTTTGCCTGAGCCCTAAATGCTGACCAAATGCCTGTCAATAAAGTAATTTCAGGAAGGCAGATCTCTTCAATTGCAATGGAGAGGGGAACAAGGACTTGATAGTGGGAAACAGGTCTCACACATAGCTAAGGAATGTAATCAGTAAACTAGGACCTGTTATTGGATTGCAGGCTTAACACTTAGATAGGGAGTGTTATCAGTACACTCCAACCGCATGGGAGAAATTTGTTCTCAGTAAATGATCAGGTAGTGCTGAATTGTGGGAAGTAAATCCCAAGTTTGTTACAGAAAGGAAGAGTTTATAGCAAGAAACAGCCAATTCATTCACAAGATTATAATGCCAAGTAAAACTTTTGTACTGGTTTAATAATCAGGAGAATTCCTAATTCTTATGAGTTATTTAATGATATGGTAGCTGTATAATTACCGTGTGATCTTGTGGCTTCTAGAAGACCTCCAGAGTCATAGCTTCTTAGAATCTGGGACACACACTTTTCAGTGTCTACATAGGTATACCGAGCAGGAATATCTGCGAATGCCAAGGTAACCACTGATGGGCCACAGAGAAGATAAGTGAATTGTCATAATGTTATCTTTTGTTAATGTTCTATAGTTAAATTACAGTAACCATTGCAAGAATGTGTGCATACATAGAAAGCCTGAATTTAAAGCTTTAATATAAATAACAGAAGCTATGCAATATGTTTGTATAACCCAGCTTTTAAAGAGGAACATGCCTAGAATCTCATGTTCTAAATATAATAAATAAATACTATTTATCCATATATACGTTTTGCTTAGTATTTTCCATCATTACTCAATCTTAGAAGATGATCTTGAATACTATCTATGTCATCGTTGGTGCATTGTCAAACTCAGTGAGATATGGGCTTCATGTCCTTTCCTCAGAGATCTCCACAAAGCTTGAAGACTTTTGCCTGCCTCTCTGCTTTTTAGAATTAATGGTCTAAGCTGGGCGGTGGTGGCACATGCCTTTAATCCCAGCACTCAGAAGGCAGAGGCAGGCGGATCTCTGTGAGTTCGAGGCCAGGCTGAACCGATAGCCTCCAAAACAATACAGAGAAACCCTGTCTCATAAAAACCAAAAAAAAAAAAAAAAGAATTAATGGTCTAAGTGTTCACGGGAAGAATGACAATCATAATATAATTTTGACTTGAGAACTGGGATTTTGTGTTTTATTTAATAGCAACACATAGTAAAAGGGAAAAATCAATATGATTAGGCCTACCTTATTGAAACAATAAGTACATTAACTTATTTATCTACTATTTACAAACCTGATTGCTAGTAATTCTCTAGATTTTGACACATATGTATATATATATGTGTGTATGTATCACACAGACACACACAAACATACCATATTTGCACCTATTCTTGCCACTTATTACCACCTACTATAATATTTAGAGGTCTACTTAAAAAATTTTAAGGCCTTGTTAAAAATAAACTTAAGAAATAAAAGATGTATTAGTAATCACTACCTAATCAATATTCAGTTACCAATTCAGTATAAAGGAGAGTATAATAATATGTATTCATTCAGTTTCTATAAAATGGGAGAACATCAGTGTATTGGGTGAGAAATATTACTGAAGCAGTATTGTATTATTTCAGTGAGTTTTTGTTGCTGGAACTGATGAAATGCCAAGAGTTCTTCTTTATTTTGTTGTTCTTTTGGCATGCTGGTCTGTGTTGTAGCTTTCCCTTATTTGAGTCATTATTTTCAACATGAAATTCTCATCAGTTTACTTTTCACTATTTAGTCTTAAAAGGCAGACTTTTAATTCTATTGTTCCAATATATTCTTTTTATTTTATTTTATTTTTAATATATTTTTAAATTTAAATTAGAAACAAGCTTATTTTACATGTAAATCCCAGTTCCCTGTCCGTCTCCTCCTCCCCTACCTCCCCTGCCCCACCTATCCCATGCACTTTCTGCTCCCCAAGGAGGGTGAGGCCTTCCATGGGGGGTCTTCAAAGTCTGTCATATCATTTGGAGCAGGGCCTAGATCCTCCCCCCGTGTGTCTAGGCTGATAGAGTATCCCTCTATGTGGAGTGGGCTCCCAAAGTCCATTCGTATACTAGGGATAAATACTGTTCCACTACCAGAGGTCCCATAGATTGCCCAGACCTTCAAACTGACATCCACATTCAGGGGGTCTGCAACAGTCCCCAATTATCAGTCTGGGATCCATGAGTTTCTCCTTGTTCAGGTCAGCTGTTTCTATGGGTTTTTCCAGCCTGGTCTTGACCCTTTGCTCTTCACTCGTCCTTCTCTGCACCTGGATTTCAGGAGTTCAGCTCAGTGGTTAGCTATGGGTATCTGCTTCTGCTTCCATCAGCTACTGGAGGAAGGCTCTAGGATGGCCTACAAGGTAGTCGTCAATCTCATTAATGGAGAAGGGCATTTAAAGTACCTCTTCACTATTGCTTAGATTGTTAGTTGGTGTCATCCTTGTAGATCTCTGGACATTTCCCTAGTGCCAGATTTCTCTGTAAACTTAGAATGGCTCCCTCTATTATGGTATCTCTTTTCTTGCTCTCCTCTATTCTTCCCCCGACTTAATATTGTTCTCTCATGTCCTCACCTTCCCTGCTCTACTCCCCTTCTCTTTCTTCTAAATCACTCTCACCTCCCCCCATTCTACCAATTAGCTCAGGAGATCTTGTCCCTTTCCTCTTCCCTGGGGGACCATGTATGTCTTTTTTAAGGTCCTCCCTGTTTCTTAGCTTCTCTGGTGGTGTGGAATGTAGTCTGGTAATCCTTTGTTCTATGTCTAAAATCCATACATGAGTGAGTACATACCATGTTTGTCTTTTTGTGACTGGGTTATCTTCTAGTGCCATCCATTTGCCTGCAAATTTCAAGATTCCTTTCTTTTTTCTAATGAGTAGTACTCCATTGTGTAAATGTACCACATTTTCTTTATCCACTCTTCAGTTGAGGGGCATCTAGGTTGCATACAGGTTCTGGATATTACAAATAATGTTGCTATGAACATTGTTGAACAGATATCCTTGTTGTATGAATGTGCATTTTTTGGGTATATAACTAAGAGTGGAATTGCTGGATCTTGTGGTAGACTGATTACACAGTTTTCTACATGCCAGCATCCAACTATGCCAGTACCATTTGTTGAAGAAGCTTTCTTTTTTCCATTGTGTACTTTTAGCTTCTTTGTCAGAGATCAGGTGTTCATAGGTGTGTGGGTTAATGTAAGGGTCTTCAATTTGATTCTATTGATCTGCCTGTCTATTTTTGTGCTAATACCAAGGTATTTTCCTTACTATAGCTCTATAATAGAACTTGAAGTCAGGGCTGATAATGCCTCCTTAAGTTCTTTTATTGTACAGGGTTGTTTTGGCTATCCTGGGTCTTTTGTTTTTCTGTATAAAGTTGATTATTGCTCCTTCAACGTTTTGAAGATTTGTGCTGGGATTTTCAGGGATTGCACTGAATCTGTAGATTGCTTTCAGCAAGATTGCCATTTTTACTACATTGATCCTACCTATCCAAGAGCATGGGAGATCTTTCCATTTTCTGGTATGTTCTTTAATTTCTTTCTTTAAAGACTCAAAGTTCTTGTTATACAGGTCTTTCACTTGTTTGGTTAGCATTACCTCAAGATATTTTATGTCGTTTGTGGCAATTATAAAGGGTGATGTTTCTTTGATTTCTTTCTCAGCCCATTTATCCTCTGTATATAATAGGGCTACTGATTTTTTGAGTTAATCTTATATCCTGCTAGTTTGCTGAAGGTATTTATCAGCTGTCAGAGTTCCCCTGTAGTGTTTTCGGGTCATTTATGTAAACTATTATATTACCTGCAAATAGTAAAAGTTTGACTTCTTCTTTTCCAACTTGTATCCCCTTGATCTCCTTTTGTTTTCTTATTCCTCTAGCTAGAACTTCAAGTGAAATATTGAAGAGATATGGAGAGAGTGGGCAGCCTTGTGTTGACCTGATTTTAGAGGAATTGCATTGCGTTTCTCTCCATTTAGGTTGAATGTTGGCTGTTGGTTTGCTGTATATAGCTTTTATTATGTCTAGGTATGTTCCTGTTATTCCTGATTTCTCCCAGACCTTTATCATGAAGAGGTGGTGGATTTTTTCATAGGCTTTTTCAGCATCTAATGAGATGATCATGTGATTTTTGTTTTTCAGTTTGTTTATATGGTGGGTTACATTAATGGATTTTCATATGTTGAACCATCCCTGCATCCCTGGGATGAAGACTATTTGATTATGGTGGATGATTTTTCTGTTGAGTTCTTGGCTTCGATTTGCCAGTATATTATTGAGTATTTTTGCATCAATGTTGATGAGGGAAATTGGTCTGTACCTCTCTTTCTTAGTTGTGTCTTTGTGTGGTTTGGGTACCAAGGTTATTGAAGCCTTGTAAAAAGAGTTTGGCAAAGACCCTTGTAAAGAGAAGCTTTTTCTTTGAGAGAAGCCTTCCCGCCAGCCTGGTTCTAGAGCCGCATCAGTCCCAAATAAACACACAGGAGGCTATATTAGTTATGAAGCTGTTGGCCTTGCTTGTTTCTTACTGGCTAGCTCTGACTTAAGTAATTACCCCATAATTGTTAATCTAAGTATGTCTCTTACTGGAGAAGTTTCTGGGCTTCCTACCCCATGGCATTACATCTCGACTCCTTTGTTTCTCCTGTGTTTCTCCTACCCAGAGTCCTCCTGGATTCCTAGTCCCACCTATCTTTGTTCCCTATTGGCTCAACAGTGCTTTATTGACATAATCACAGGACCTCCCACATCATCTCCTCTTTTCTGTCTAAACAAAAAGAAAGGTCTTAACTTTAACATAGTCAAATTATATATAAAAGAACAGTTATCAAGTAAGAACATAGTTACAATATTTTGTCTATCAACATTTAGCAAGATTTAAAGAAAATATCATCTATCTCATCCTTGTGAGTCCAAAGTTCTATATGTAGCTTATCTTTTTATCATAACTAAGGAAAACTATAATTATAACTATCTGTCTTCAAGTACAGTATTGAAGAAATATGGAGATATTGGACAGCCTTGTCTTGTTCCTGATTTTAGAGGAATTGCATTGGGTTCTCTCCATTAAGTTTGATGTTAGCTTTTGGTTTACTGTACATTGCTTTTATTATGTTCAGGTATGTTCCTGTTATCCCTGATCTCTCTAGGACCTTTATCATGAAGAGGTGCTAGATTTTGTCAAAGGCTTTTTCAGCATCTAGTGAGATGATCATGTGGTTTTTCTTTCACAGTTTGTTTGTATGATGGATTTCATTGATAGATTTTCTAATGTTGAACCATCCCTGCATTCCTCGGATGAAGCCTACTTGATCATGGTGGATGATTTTTCTGATGTGTTCTTGAATCCGATTTGCTAGTATTTTATTGAGTATTTTTTGCATGGATGTTCATGAGGGAAACTGGTCTATAGTTCTCTTTCTTAGTTGTGTCTCTGTGTGGCTTGGGTACCAAAGTAATTGCAGACTTGTAAAAAGAATTTGCCAGTGAGCCTCCTCCT